AATTTCCAGACGATGTAATTCAAGATAATCTTGCGGGGCAGTTGTGGTTTGGAGCTGAGGTAATTATTATATTCACTGTATAGGTTTAATGTTGATAGGCACCAATATAATATGTAATGATTTGATATAAAATGTATATTATATACAAGTTAATATAATTTATAACCACTATGCATCTATGTTATATAATATGTTACTGTGAATGTCCGCAATTGGTGAATGCTAACAGTCACCAGGTGAATGTTGAAAATCTAAAATAATACAGACATTTACGTTAAGATTATAGTCAATGTTGACATAGGTAGGTACGTATTCGGCATTCGCGTATATAATATTATAGTATTATGGTAGAATATATCATATATTATAAAATAGAAACAACATATTATATTATTATGTTTAATTACATCAAAAAATTATTATTATTATTAAACAATATTATACTATATTATGTTTGTATTATTATAATAAGGTATTTAAATTATGATTATTTTATATTATTACTTATTACAGCACGACCCTATGACGCTATGACAAAGTTTTGAATATATCTATATTATATGTATGAAAATTATGTTTTTTTGTATTTGTTAAAATATAAAATGTTTTGAATTTACATTGGATGTATGAAAATATAGATGGAATTTGTCATATACCTATAAAATAATATGTTAAAGTAGAAATATTTTTATATTGAATGTATAATATTGTATGTTTAAAAATTATGTTTTGGTATAAGAAAATAAGATGTTATATATGAAAAATGTATTTGTAGTAAGGRGATATAGTAATGTAATAATACAAAAATGAGTAGTAGGATGGAAATATGTAAAAAGTAGTATGTTATGTTAAATTTCATTGTATTAAATGCATAGTAAGTACTTGTGGGTACAAGCTGCCGGAACACCTATATGCCAAACACGGAACGAGCGGTACAATATGTAAAATCGGATCACTAGTCAACGTCAGACAGCAATGATRGATCAAGTACAATGTGCTCCAGTTAAAGTTGTAATACTGTATGACTGGGGCATATAGTAAAAAACACGTCATATAAATACACCATTTAAATTATGAAATTACCTGTATATATTAAATACSAAATTTATATCAATACTTATAAAAGAAGAAGGCGAAGGAAAAAATGAGTGTTGGTTACCAAATGTATCACAGTACAATTGTTTTGGGATAAGGGGTTTATAACGATGTATATTTTTTTCTCCTTAACTTTTAAGGGAGGGGGTAATGTAACATATTACATGTATGTGACACTGCTACATGTTACTAAATTATAAATATGAGTATAAATAAGAATAATAAGGAAGAAGGCTTATATACACAGTAGGGTTATCCGTACACAAATACACAAACAACTGATGACATATATAAGAGACACACAATGTTAAGTTCGTTAGTTCTGGGTCCAGTAGAGCTGCCCGYAWGCCAACGAACTCCGGAAGACCATACTGTGAGTAAGCCTTTMGATATTTTTGTAGTTATTAAGTATTGCGTATTTTATGAATATTGTTTAATGAATATTGTGTATGTATGTAATAAGTATGGTGCTATAATAAAAAACATATCAACTAGAGCTTAATATTTGATCTATCTTTCCTGAAGCTCCCGAGTTACGGTTAAAATATAATTCATAGGGCTCTGAAAACCCTCACTGAATTATCTAAATATAACAGGTTCCCCAACCCCGTTACACTGTCATGAAAATGTGTACTACATAAAATTGCAACATTTCTACAGCTACACTTTTTTGTAGTACCTACACTTTGTTTTACAGTTACATCTTGTATTTGATGTAGAAGCTTCCCTTAATGCAATTTGTTGATCCCTTTGTACATCAGTAATTGATATTAAATTATTATAAAATAGTTTCCGCATGTTTTCTATTTTAAAAAAATCACCTGAATTAAATGTTATTTAAAATAAAAATATATAACTAGTTACGTTGAATCACAATATCATACTAAATGATAGCATAGCATAGCATGGAAGTTATCCAGATATAATAAGGTAGTTGGTAAGGTAATAAAACATTTTATCGAAATTATCAACTTGTACAATACATTATACTGCATATAGGTATTAGGTTGTTACGGAACAAACAACCGTCGATAAAAAAAGATCTTTAGAGACCACCAAATAATATTGGGAAAAAGATGCGTTGTGACRAGTGAAAATCACACATGATGAATAGGAATGCCCGTTCAACGATGTGATTTTCATTCGTCTAAACGCACTTACGCGGACCAACCAACGACGGACTAGATTGTCGAAAAGGGTATAAATACCGGACACTTTCGACAATCTAGTCATTATCCAGCCTGTGAACACCTACTCTGCCGTTCAACACTGCATCCACCTTCTGAAGCAGTACCTTCAACAGGGCAACAGCGCCCACGGGTCAAACCCGATCGCCAACCGTCAACTGCCGGTTCATTCCAACAGGACATCAGCGTCCAAACCAAGGAACGTCAGCAACGCAAACAGCCGTTTTCACCGCTCTCAACAGGGCAACAGCGCCCACCAAAGYCGCCGCGGAAGCGACGTCGTAGTCCAAATCAACAGCCGTTTTCACCGCTACTCCGACAGGGCACCAGCGCCCAAGGTAAGCCGTCGCGAAAGCGACGGGTATCCACCTTCCACCGTTTATCTGTCGAGGGGCCGCGCCCTCTCATCGCCGCAGAATCCCATCATTGACCAAACCAAACCCCCCTAAACCCACCCGTCACACCACCAGTAAATCGCTCTTTTCAGAGCTACAGTGTTAAAACCCTGAGTTTGTTACGGTCTTGCCATGGGCAAAACAGCTAACAAGCGRAAGGGCCCCGCGCATACACCCGGGAGTTCCAAGAAGGGACGTCCACGTGCCTCACCATCCCCACCGTCCACCATCCAAAAAGGTCCACAGAGGGATTCCCCCCCCTCTCCAACTCCRACGACCGACTCATCAATAACAATGTCGTCATACTGCTCCTCTTCCGACACCGAGTCAAACAAATCTGCCCAACACTCCGCCCCGACTACTAAACCTCCACCAGCCAAAACATCCGAACAACAAATCCCGACATCAGCCAAACCCAAGCAAATCAGGCCACCCCCCTTAATCTTAAACTCTGCG